TGTTTTTTTGAATGTCCAGAGGACCAGATTTAACTTTTTTAGATTTTTCTACCTGGATTATTGAGCATGCATCAGGATACTTTAACAAAATGTACACGATTTTATTGATTTCCCTAAGAACAATAGAAATGGCTCGTTTTAATTATTTTACTAATGCAAGAAGTGAACGTTGTTCAGATCATGCTGGTCCAACTTCCAGCCACACAGAGAAATCTTTCTCTCAAAACCACCAGCAAACTGAAACTTTTTGAACACCTTAAAGTTGCTGCAAGGACTCAGATTATAAATCATTAAAATTAGGAGTTGTGAAAAAAAGTCCGTAATTATATTTAAAAAAGGTAAACAATTACACATTATTAACATGAATATAATCGTTTTTGTCTTGTGTCAAAATCCACTGTCAAAATTCATTACATATTTTCAGTTTTATAATGTAAAACTTTACTATTAATTACTATTTTCATCAATAAAATAGATTTCACAAGCATCTGTAAATGAACTATAAGGAAAAATCCACCTTTTTTACAAACAATAAACTGTTATTTATTGAGTAAAATGTCCACTCTTCCTTTAGAAGATGTTGCCTTCATTCATTCACCTAGTTCTGATCAAGACCCAGTTCAAGTAAAAAGTTAATTTTGTTTCAGCTTGAAAGGCAAAGCCTGGTGTTTGAAATTTACATGGAAACTGAGAGATTTCCTGAACCAATTAACTAAAGGTCAAACCGAGCAACGCCTGGCAACAACAACTTTCATTAAATGCCACAAGAGCATAATGGAACGAGACTGAGGACTTGTCCAGCTGTGTGGGATGGGGGGACTTGACTTTTTACTCTGGCAGCTCAAGGGCAGAGTGCAAACGTCAAGAGATGTTTGATCTGAAGAAAAGACCTTTAAATTTAAATCAAAAAGCAGATGACTAATATCAGAGCTGAACATCTTAAGGATTGCTCGCTGACCAGAAGTCCTCCAAAAGGCTTAACAAGTACAACATCAAATTCCTCAGCAGTCACGACATGAAGCAGCTCCACGGTTGGGCGCTCCACAGGGCAGCTGCTGCTTTTCTCACAACAGTCTACTGAGTCATCCTTTGAACAATGAGATCTGTGAGACTGTTCACAGACAAGAGCTGTTTGGTGAGTTACAGGTGCAAAGAGAATAATCACAAAAACAATAGTTCATAATTAAGACCAGGGATCTGCAAGCTTTTCAACCCAAACAGCCAGGTCTCCACCGTTTCTGTCCAGACAAACCCTGCATGAAGATTAAAACCAAGAAAAAATAGGGCAAATGTAACTGTTTTATGTAAATGTAAAATAAAAATTACGAGTTTGTTGCATTCTGTAATGATCATCACCTTTCTTTAACCTGATAAAACCCCACTGAGATCAAGATCTCTTTTCTGAGGGGGGTCAAGAGGTCAGCAGCACACATTATTAAAGCATGAACAAGATAAAACACATTATTTACCCACATGAATGTGTTTTTTTTAGCTTGAAGTGCATGAACAAAGCATAATAAGGATTTTAACAGTGACTTAAAGCACAAACACTTAAGAAAGCACAAGCAATAATAATAAAAAATACAGACAACTGTTAAAAGACATAAAAATATAGGCAATAAATAAAATACTGGCATTGGGTAAAACAGAAAATCAAAGAACTATAAAAAACTGTTGACATTTATCAACATTTATATTTTAGGACAAAGAAAAAGAACAAACTCTTAGGAAAAAAAACATTTAGTGCAACCTTTTCTTCTTAGCTTTCCTTTAATGTCTTTTTTTAACCTTATACATCTTTAATCCTTTTAATTTCTTCTTAATTTCCCTCTTAATTATTGGTGTGACTATAAAAATTAGAATATTTAGTTGGATATTAATTGTCTCGATGATTTTTTTTCTCTAATAAACTCTTCCCTTTAACACATTATTCCCAGAATGACTTTACAGAATGCCTGATTTTAATAACTTGGAACATAACATGTTTGCAAAACTGCTGTTCAGATTTCAGAAACAGATGTGATGATTTAAATTAATTAAAATAAATTAGTTAAATTAATAAAGAGATAAAATGGTTAACAAACAAATTGGGCAAATTGATTGATGTGTTTTAACCTCTTAATGACATTTTTGTTCACACAACTGGACGAGAGAACTGCTGCAGTTAACTTTTGTGGCTCTAAATAAATATTTATTCATTCAAAGTAGAAAAAGCTGCTGCAGAGGAGCTAAAGTGGGACCCAGAACCACCAGTTGCAGATCCCAGACTTAGAAACAAACAAGAGTCTAGAGGCTTTTAATGTACAATGCAAGTTTCTGTTCTTCTACTTTAGTTTATTGTTCTGCTGTAGGACAGACTGAAGGCTGCAGATACAGAGTGAGACTGTTACAATCTGAGAGAGTCCGTCCTGTGACTAACCCGTTAGAGAACAAAATGCATTGCAATAATTTTGCTGCAGAGTATTTAGGGAGAGCAAAACAAACTGGGGCAGAGTGTCTTTATAGACCCCTGTGATTAATGTGGATGCTCTCAGGGTGTGAACATCCCACGAGGCAGATGTGTGATCCTGGATTGTTGTCCTGCAACTAAACCCCCTCCCAACTTTCTGCAGACACTGGAGTTGATGATGTAACAGCACAGGTTCCACACGGCGCTTTGCTCCACTTTTATCTGCGGCGGTTGCTAAGCAATAGGCTCCTTCAGAAATAGTGAAACCTCATCCTGCATCAGAGCTCGTTTGCCTTTCATTTTCTCAAATGGACGACATGATATCTTCTGGCTGCACATATCAGCAGCTGCTGTGGCAGAGCTGATGATGGAGATGGTTTGTTATGGCATCTTTTCCATCAGGGAGGCAGCCATCACACTGTCTCATGTGAAGATGTGATATTTGACATATCTCCAGACAGAAAATGGAGTCAGGGTAATTTCTGGGAAGGTACAAAATACTCCTTCTGCATCTGATCCTGGAAGTGTTGTGGAACAAGTCATCACCTGAATGCCAATGTTGCACTATCACTCAGACCAGTGCGGCTCCCAGAGGTGGATACAACCTCTGACGCTTTGTCAAGGTCAAAGCAGCCTCCTACCAGCCCCGCAGAAATGCAAACAGTAACAGTTCAAGCCGCTGTGGGCAGAGGATTACTGAGAGATGCTCGGTGCTGATGCAGCGGCCGAACAAGCCTCACGAGCTGCTCCTCTCTGTCAACTCCTCTGAAGCCCATTCTTTTAATCCCAGGAGCGCCTCGCGGCCATTTAAACCAAGACAAACACAACAAATCTAAATTATTTAAATAATATCCAAACTCTTACCTTGTAATGTGCAGAGCGGACGGATCCAGAGTTCATTCAGGCGCAGCGCTCGCCTGCAGCATCTTTGGATGTGAAGCCACGCGCAGCCTCCAGTCACACGGGGCGCATGGTGCGTAAAGTCTGACGCAGGAGCTCGACGCCGGACACAACTTTGAGTTTGGTTTCTTTAAAATGGCACAGAAGCGCGCGCGCACCAAAGTCTCAACCAACGCGCGCTGTCTCACTTCAGCTTCAGACCGACGCTCCTCTCTGCTGCTCTCTCGCGCACATCTGCCCCTCCACGTGGTTACTGGTGTTGTTGTGGGACGAGGACTTTACTATGGCAAGTCACGACGACCGTCTGACGCAGGTTTGACTCATCCGCTCGTGCGCACGTCAGCAACTAATCCCCCCCCCCCCCCCAAAAAAAAGACATCTGCAGTGTTCAGCAGACGATTAACATAAGCAGAGCATCACACAGGTGGCCTTCAAGCAGGCATACAGCTCCTCACGTGCCTGAGTTCACTTTTTATAAACACTTCATAAAAATGTCTTTATCCACAGATAAGGCACTAAAATGATTGTGAAACATTGCACCATTTAATGCTTCTACTTTGTGGCCCAGTCATTTTTCTTCCTGACACCAGTGATTTAGTGCTTGCCTCTGCACGTGCTCCTATCTCAGTGAGTGACTTTCTCATTCCCTCGAAACAGAAGAACACGCTGCATGACCAGTCTGCTAAATGTTTAAGAACAGTCCTCACTAAATCACCTCTACAAGCCTGGAGAGTCAAATGGGCTCAACTGGGGCAGAGATAACTGATGTTTAAGAGGGAATGCAAAAGGATACATGTGTCTGCTTGAGTGAAGGTGTTTCTCAAATGACAATCATAATAAAAAAATACAAATAAAATCATAAGAAGCCCTGCTGTGTCTGCTCAGCTTATCTCTGCATACATTATGGGACACCTCCTCACACACACACACACAGCTCTGCATACATGTATGCTTCCTGTCTCTTTCAGTTCACTCATGTGACTCACTTTCCAAGGACCGGCTACTGGGATCAGTTTCCATGGCAACCACTGATCATATGATGGCTACTCACCCTGTGAGCATTTTTCTGTCTTCTCTCTTTATTTTTCCTCCTTCTCCCTCCCTCTCTCTCTCTCTCCCTCTTTCTCTCTCTCTCGAGCACCTATACCCTTCCTCTCTGCAGCTGTGCACGAGTCAACAGAAGTGCAGCTGCAGCACAACTCCATCTTGCAAAGCTCGCCACACAGTTGGTGTTCCTGCTTGTGGGTTGTTGCCTTCAGCGTGTGACTATTATACACGCACTTGTTATCACACCTTTTGAATTATGCAGCCGAAGACGTGACGGGCCCCTGCCTCCTGTCAGAGTCTGAATTCTGCTGCAGCGCTCGTCTCCTCACCGTATAGAGCTTCGTGAACACCTCCAGGCCTTATTCTGAACATTTTAGATCTAAAACTGGTCTCAGAGGAGAAACAGATTCTCAAGGAGCAGCGGGGCTTTCCATCAGCACACCTTTCACATGAAGCATCTTGACCTTGAGCTTGGTGATGTTATTTTTATTTGTTTACTGCACAACAGTGAGGATAGTAAACGGGGAAGCTGCAGCAGGGCCTTTGGACCCATCCTTTATAGCTTACATGCTGTTAATGTGGGGGAGTTAGGGGCTAATGAGCCACCTGACTGAGCTGTGATTTACTGATCCTTTCAAGAGCATTTTGAAAAGCTGCAGCTAAACACCCTGTAAATAGAGACAGCACCACATCCAGGCACATCAGATCTTTGTTTTATATGAAAAATAAAGGTTTTCATTGGTTCTGCTGGGTGAGAGGAAATCTTATCCTTCAGGTTAAAACAACATTCTAAATGAAGGTGATGCTCATACAGATAATATTGTACAATCTTGCACTCTCCATCTGTGGCGCACCAGCTCTTACCTCCAGTCTCAGGAGAGGCAGGTTGCCAGGGCACAAATTAAACATGCTGACGAAAACAGACGGTAAAATCTGATCCGTGCCCCGGGGGTGTTTCTGTGCAGCTGAGCCTCGCCCGCTCTCGTGATTCAACTTTGCCTCTCTGCTCCCCCTTTTTGCCGGTTTCTAGTGGTGCCTTCCGGCCTCCATCCGTATGCTGACACCTTGCTTCCTTCCCTCTGGGTGTGTGAGTGCAGTCACTTGGAAAAAAAACGTGGACAAATGAGGAAAGTGGAGTATTTTTATCAGTCTCCTGAACGTAAGCTTGATTCTCCAGTTAGGGCTGAAGGGTAACTACTGACTCAGATGTAACTCCATTAAATACATTCAGCTAAACATGCAAAAAAAAAAAAAAATCACATTATAATAAACTTTTACCACAATTTTCTTACAATGTCAAAGTAAAGGTAACTCATTTGTATTCCTCTCTTCTCCTTTGACTATTTCCCTTTACCGCCCCGTCCCTGCTGTTCAGCTGACAATAGGCTCATTAGCTTTCTGCTTCAGCTTCATCTCTTCCTGAGATAAAGAAATAAACACAGAAGTCACGACCCATGAGAGGACCAGCATGAGTATCGACAGCTTTGATGAATTTGCAGAAATAAAATCAATGTTGTCAGATGGACACGATTATTGGACAACATTTGTTTTCCAATTTATTATCAGTGAATGTGTATTTGCTTGTTATTGTTGCCCACAACCAGCTAAAACACGTTGTCCCCTTGAGTTCCTGTTGCATTGGTGTGTGAGAAGAGGCTGCTGCAAGAAAAATCAGACGAGGTAATGACAAAACTCCTGTTCTGTTTAGAATATATACATTTCTTGTTGGTTGTTTTTGTGTGTGTTTTAGCCATTAATGTATCAAGTTCTGTAAAATAAAGAGTAGTTAATCATTTAAACCTGCATTTTCAACAAATTTACGAAATAGGTCAAATGAAAGAAGTTGTGGCTATGCCTTGAAACTGACATTCATATTAAAGTGACTGACAGAGCAGTTATGAAAATAGATATAAAAGCAGACAAATAGACAGCATATTGTAATGTAAAGCGAACACTGGTGTGCTGTGTCCAGCACTCCAGATGGCTGTCCAGAACCCCACTGTTTGGGGTTGGACTCTAAGGACACAGTGCTGACATCCTGCTTCTTAATAGAGCCATGTTTGTTATTGTGAAAATATTAAGTTCAGTTCAATTTATATGCAGCTGTTGCAACAGAAGTTAAGAAGAGCAATAAAGAAACTAAGTCTGATTTAAACTCACTTACAAACTCGATTACACAAAACCTGATTTGATCTAGATCTAAATAATTATCATCACTGAGTTATAAAACATAGTTCTGTCTATCTAGGGGAGCCAGTAGATTTCATAGAATTGTCATTTCTCTGTAATCCTAATCATTGACAGGGCAATTTGACTATAGCCCTCACTAGCTATTCAGTATCTCAGAAAATTAGAATTAGACCTGGGCGATATGGACCAAAATGAATATCTTGATATTTTTAAGATAAATCGCGATATACAATATATATCTCAATATTTTTTCTTTCCATAAAGTAATAACAAAAATATATTTCAGAGTCAAAGCTTTGTCCCAGTTGTCACACAGGCACATTTATTAACAACAGCTGTAACTACAAAATAAATGTTTGAAAAATAAACTATTTACATACATTAAAATTATTTTTTTAGGCATTTATTTACATATATAGATACAAGTTTCAAACATTTGATAATGTCAATAGAAAAATCAAAGCAAATATGTTCTTGTTTTTAGTATTTCACCCTGTTTTACGGCACTCTGATTTATTGTTTTATACACTACTCTTATTTTAACAGTAATTTTTACTGTAGTTTATTGTTATTGTTAACTGTTATTGTTGTATGTACTTTATATGTTCTGTCTGGAACAGATTCCTCTCATAAATCAGTCCTCGTGGGCTCAATGGGACTAGCCTGTATAAATAAAGGTTGAATGAATGAATACTACTCCACTGTGCAGCCTCCAAACTTCTTCTTATTAAAGTCATGAGTGATTTGACTTAATGGAGACCAAAAATACATAGAATATTATTTGTAAGTAGAAGATTTATGTCATGTCTTTGTTGTTAAACTAAAAGTAGCTCTTTAGATACGTCAGTGTTTGACCACAGTCACCTGATTTGATAAAAGCCATACAGACCCAGTGACCCATGAAAAGTCCAATTCAGATTGCTTTACTGGTCCTTTAATTTTAGTTGACCAGACCAGATGTTGAACAGCTGAAGACGCAGTAATGTCTAGCTATTTCTTTAAATATGTCACACAACCATAGACGTTTATTTTATATAAACTTAATGTTATGGAATAAGTCCATTTCAATGAGTCACATTTTTGCAATTAGTCAGGAATTGCTATTATCATAGATGTTTACAGATATTTAAAAGATGCATTTATCTTAACTCTGGTAGACTTCATTTCATGTAGTTGTTTCCCATGAGGGCAGCACGGTGGTGCAACTGGTAGAGCTGCTGCCTCTCAGCGAGCAGGTCGCACTTGTTCAAATCCTGGTCCAAGGGCCTTTCTGGGTGGAGTTTGCATGCTCTCTCCGTGCATGCGTGGGTTTTCTCCCACAGACTAAAAACATGCATGTTAGGCTGAATGGTAACTCTAAATTGTCCCTAGGTGTGAGTGAGAGAGTGAATGGTTGTTTGTCTCATTTGTCTCTATGTGTCCCTGTGATGGACTTGAGCCCTGTCCAGGGTGTACCCCGTCTCTCGCACAGTGATGGCTGGACATGGGCACCAGTGACCCCCACAACCCAAAAAGGAAGAAGTGGGTAAAGATAATGGATGGATGAATGGTTTCCCATGAACCTCTGCAGGGACAAAAAATTTCTAACTGGGCCACTCAGACTTAAATTTTCCCAGTTTGGTTTCACAGCTCTGACTCTTACTTTTCCTTTAACACAGACATATAATCTGATTTCCAGCTGCTTAATGAGCAAGACAGAAATGCAACTTACAACAAGCCATAAACTTTATTTAGTTTGGTCAAATGTAAAGAGACAGATAAGGTCGGGGGCCCACAGTGTAGTTGTAATAGTGGTTTTCTCTAGCCTTTCTGCAAGGAGGTTTTATGTTCTCCTCATGCATGGATTTTCTCTGGTTTCCTCACAGAC